CTCCCGCCTCGTGCCCACCGGCTTCTACCATGACACATGATGCTTCCAGGAAGCGAGCGCGCTTCGGATAGGTGACCACCAGAATAAGTACAGGGCCAGAAGGAGAAGAAAACCCGTTGCGAAAGAATATCCACATCGATCGATTTCCGCGCAATCTTCATGATATCTTGGTCAAGAAAATGGAGACGGGGGAAAGGCCACGGTGGTGGGAGAGGGGGGCCAGCCAAGGAAGCAGGCATCGAGGCCGGCATTCATCTGTTCTCTTGCGAACATTGCCATGCCCGCGGCTAACGCTCCAGCCATCGACTCCACCTTGCATCTAAGCCTCACTCTTGGCACGCATTCCCTCCTGCGATTGGTGCACCCTTCAAGCACCCCGATTCTTCATGCTGCACAGCACGTAGGCACTCCACACTGAACCTTTTTGTTGCCCACCAACCTGTGAGCCCGCCAGTCCGTCACCTTTTGGTAGCTAGTTTGTGAGCAGTCTGATGTCTTCGGTGAGTGGTTTCCTGCACGGCAGCGGACCACTCTGTGTCTGGGGCATGCGACATCGGCTCGAAGGAGCCACTGAGCTGGGTGGGTGTGGCGGGGCAGAGAAATCTACCTTAGGTAGGTACTAAAGAGTCAGGTGCTCAATTTGGTGAGGGGGGGCACGCGGGTGAACCTAGCCGCCAGCAGGAAGATAGGTATACATAATCGTTTCCTGGCATCCTGCAGTTGCTAGTTTGCAGAACTTCGGATCCCTCTGACAACGTACCTGTGTACCTGAACACTCGAAAGTGGAGTTCCGGTAACCTCACATAAGGTAGCATACAGCTCGTCCGTTGTGGGAGACCAGGCAGACAACAAAGTCTAAAAGCCTGCGATTTTGACGATTCGCTTTGGAGTTGTTCGCTCTTACATCAGTTCTTTGAGCTTGAAGAAACAGTGTTGAATGAATAGGTCCATTTGAGATTCTTCAGGAGCCATGTGATCCGTGGGACCGTAGGCAAGTAGGCAAAGCAGTCTGCCCATTCGATCTTCCAGTTTGTGATAGAATGTCCTTTCGACCGTGTTACGGTCGTACCACTAAAGATTCACCCCTAATAATGCCACT